TCTGGACTTGTTTACGAGTAATAATTGTTTTTACATGCATTTAATATGAAAGAAAACATTTTACGTAATTCTCAGGCCTTTTGAAAATGTTATCTGACATTTCCGATAGATACTTCTTTACAAAAGCTTTAGGTTTGGTATTGACATTAGTAGAAACCAAGGGTAGTCTTTTACTTTTCCCCCTTTTTAATTTCTTTCTTAATTGGTTAGACTGTATCTGTCTTTGCCTTATCAAATTGTTAAACTTTGTCATTCCCTATAGTAACCCAGTGCACTGACTTATTTCAGTATTTACTTGGTGGAGAGATTTTAAATCCACAGGTTGTTTTTGCTTTGCGGCTTCAGTCATATATAAATTGTTTGTTGTATTTTAGAATTTGGTTACAATATATTTACTTTAAAAAAATGAATGCTCTAACCTATAAAGCAAATAGACAAGGGATGAACAACCGATCACTTTACATCTAAAAGTTTGCAAACTCAATATGTATAAATATATCCCATAAATCACAAGAGTCGCCATCAGAAACATGTTTTGAAAAGATTTATTAACTGATTTTGTATTTCAGTGCTGAAATAATCATTTGTGACTTTCTGTTGGGCATGGAAAATAATCAAATAAACTACATCAACCATCAATAAGCATTTTCTAATGTTAATAAGATATTTTCTCATTTGGTCTTTTGTATAATTTACTAAATGCACACTTTTTGTGCTCATTTGGATCATTTTGAAATTGCGGATCTCTGTGGTGGTGTGTCCACCTGCAAGTTGGTTTATTTAACATTTAGAGATGACTCAGGCAACTCTAATTTATGGTGCTTTTAAATGAAACAAATAGTACTGAAATTACATCACATTCATGAACTTAAAAGCTCTAAACCACACTTACTGTGGCTGACACTAATAATGCAGAGATGTGTGGAAGAATGGCCGGGCCTGCTGTTGCAGTGTACCTTGGGATAAATGAGCTCCGGCCACCAAGAAGGCCGGAGCAGTGGCAGTCCTGCTGGCCTTCCCACACTCCCTGTAGGACTTGATCCACAGCTCAGCACAGCGGCCTGGATTAGCCCCACGCACCTTTGTGGAGGGAAAGATTATCCAGACCTCCCTGCATTCACTGACAGGGTCTTAAGTCACTCTAGCGTGCCAGCAGCCACCCGTCACCTAATCACACTTTCCAACTCATTTTTTTGTGATTAAGCAGCTTTTCTCTTCCTGCTCCTCTGTGTCAGAGCAGTTTGCTGCGGGCTAGACAGCCTGATGGTTTTTAAATCATTTATCTCACCCTTCAAAATGATGTTGACTCAGTATGGCTTTCATCTGCAAAACTGATCAATTGAAAAGTTAAACTTTCAACCAAAATGTTGTGGTTTCTGCTTAACAAGTGATGCAAAAATTAAAACATTCAACAGTCAGTGGAGCTCAGTTCATACGTGACTGGCACATACATGTCCTCCCTCGTGATGATTTAGAAGGGAAACTGTTTGGGGAAAGGTGTGTGGCTTCACCGTGCATCTCTATTGATTGTGTTTGAATGTTCTGGCAGTGAGGCCATCCGAGTTTGGGCTCCCCACCACCCCCACTCCCATCCCCCCCCTCTCTCTCCCTGCTGAGCACCCGGAGGGCCTCTCTCTCCTGTCATGTGGAGCTCTGTGCCCACTCAGCAAGTGCAGGCATATCCCACTTCCATCTGCCGATGACCTCACAGCCCCTGTTTGTTTAACCCCCTCTCCAAAAGCAAACCTAATTATAGCCCTGTAGAACATGGATTCAGCGGATTCCCAGTGGATTCTGCCACTGTGCGTCTACGTGCACCTATGGGTGCAGCGTATGCAAGGCTCCAGCTTAACAGCGGCAGTGCTGTAGGCCATGTTTCAGTCCATCCTGTTTTTCACATGCGTCTCCTCATATTATGTCAGAACATGCCCTGCCAGTTATGTCTTGTGTATGTGTGAACAAGGTGGTTTGAGCAACAGGAGCGTGGTTAGAGTGTCTTTCTTTACGTCAGCATGATGAGTGGAAAACTCATTACACAAATCTGGCTGACAGACTGACGTTGGTGACATCACTGACCTGCCTGCTTGACTGGATGGGCAACTTCCATCAGGGGACACACCTGAACATACTCTCAGGGTTTCACGTAATCTCAAACTCAAATCAGGAACCTCCTCTGATGTCATCACCTGCGACATATTTTTAGTGTAACGGATGAGTTCAGTTTGGGACTGCACCTGACATTCAGACTGTATTGATTTTCTGTGGCTGGGGTATCTGGGAGGCCCTTTGAGTTGAGCCTGGAGGGGCCTAGAGTCCACGCTGGACAGGCCTGTCCAGAGTGGTGAGACTTGTGTGAGGTACTGAGATTGACAGCAGAGCGGTGTGAGTGTGTAGAGGTGCGGGGGTTGGGGGTGGGGGTTAATCTCCCTGAACTGGGGCAGATGTTGTTAACGAGCTCCTCTCAGGTCGACTCCCTGCGTGGGAAAATGGCATCAAATCCTCCTGGGGTCAGGGCTTTTGGGCTGACCCACTGAGAGCCATCCCTCTCCACTGCACCGTCCCTTCAATCCCCTCTCCATTCACTCATTCACTGACAGCACTCACCGGAGACACTAGAAAATCACATTTGACCATTTCCATACCTCTCCTCTTTTAAGTACATCCCCAATTTTGAGCTACTCGCCTGCACGCATGTGAGCACTGAAGGACTTGTTCCATGATGCAAATGTCTCATTATTGGTAGCTGTAGTTGGATTCGCCATGCCTTACAAAACCACAAGGAATGCCGAGTGGGAAACGCTTCAAAGGCAAGCATGCCGCCACTCAACAAACTGCATCCGCCCAATTATTTAAGTTAAGGCTTTATAGACTTTCTGGCATCTGAGCTATCGGTTAAGCAATGTAGAGATATTATTTACGGTGGTAATATACAGGTGAAGTTAAAAATAATAGTTCTAAGTGAAGAACAGCAAAGATGTTTGTTTTTACTGCCTTAGCCAAAGTGTTGACTTTGATCTGATACAGGAGATTGCTGTTGAAAGATTTGTTAGAAACAACTGACACCTGTGATGAAGCAGGTGGGAAACTAATCCCAATTAAACCTTTTAGATTCGGAGAAAAAAAATCTATGTGATATTGTTAAAACAAGGGAGGAAATAAATCGCAAAGCACGTGACCATGATGTTTTTCGACCTATGTACAGACACACAGTACACACGCGTTCGCTGTGATGTGGCGACTTCTCATCATTCATATCCGGATTGGGCATGTCTCTTTACTATATCATGTCAACATGCCTGATTTAGGGTTTATCCTGACTTAGAGTTTTAATGCGAGGGTCATCCATTAAGGTGTCTGACTCTGAAGGTGTGTTTACTTTGTCCCAGCAGGTGTGTGTGAATATGAGACTCTTCAAATATGAGACAGGATTACCGCTTCTTTTGTCCCAAACAAAACAAATACAAATCACACGAACAGCTGAAAGCGAGGATTCTGTTTTTTCACTGCCCAGTTGTATGTTTAGAGAGTTGTTCCGACAAGGATCCTTTGACTTTTTTGTTCAAGCACTACTGAGGTTTACTTGGACTTGTTTTCGCTTGTAATTGTGGTTGACAAAGATTTGTAAAATTGCACACACATAAAAACACACACACAAACACACATATATATATATACACAACCCTGAATGAAACTGGATTAGGAGGCCTTTTCCTGAATAACCTGTAAGGGCAATTACATACAAACGGTTGCTTCCAATGTGTGTTAAGGAAAGCAGAGGCACCTAGCGAGACACTGTAGTGTGTAAAAGTGTGTCTGCTGCAGATGGTCCCTTTCTGAAGAACACATCACTTTGTCTATGGACACTGGAGCATGTAGCGTTGCTTTTAATTTGCCAAACTAGAGTTATGACCCCACTTCTGACCTGTCTTGGAAGCCCAGAAAAATGGGGCCAAGTGTATGTCGGCGGATGTATGTACTATGCCTTGGGACAGTACAGAGAATTTGGGACTCCTGCAAGACAATGCAGAGTCTTGGGGGATAAGGACTTGGGGGGGGGGGGGGGGGGCAAGGGGGAAGATTAGGCTTCTCATCTAGGCCACAGATATTGATTAGTGTTTGCTGAGGACAGTGAGAGGAAACACAGATTGACAGATACACAATGGTAGTGTGATGTGATCATATTGCTATTGTCAGTAGTCATTCAGTAACCTGTACCCACGTGTGTGTGAGCACACACACACACACACACACACACACACACACACACACACACACACACACACACACACACACACACACACACACACACACACACACACACACACACACACACACACACACACACACACACTTGCACATGTGTACTAAGCATATGTTGTCAAATACAAAGTAGGATGAAAGATTTATTTCCCTGTAGGGTAATAGTTAGGTGGGGGGCACTTCGTTATTTAGTGTAGCCCAGTCTGTATGTGTGTGGGGTTTATGGGAGTGTAACCCTGGGAACATGGGGGGAGGTGGGACACTGGGCTGCAGGTCAGTCCTGACTGACTCTGTCACTTATTGATTAGTTGCCATGGAGAGTTAGTCAGGCCATCTCTCTTGGAGGTGTGTCCCGAGGGTCAGCAGCACTGCCCAGATGAGCCTGTGGAGGCTTTGTCTGCAGGGGGTCAGAGTGTGTGCGTGTACCCTGTGTGCGTGAGTGTGAGCGTGTGACCTCGCTAACTCTCACTCGCGCTTCCTTCATCCTCATCCGTCTTCTTTTGACCCCCTGTGGTTCTCGCACTTTTGCATCTTTCTCCAAAGTGGACCAAACTCCCAGCTAATCTGCTGATATCTAAAATGCATCAATATTTATACACACCTACTCCCTGCAATAATGGGGGTTGTAAACAAATTGAGCTGGGAAATCCCCTTCATAGCCCCTTGGATTTGCCTACTCATATGATCCTCTCTCATCTCTGTTCTTGTATTGTCATTGTTCCCATCAAACGTTAGGAAGGAGGGGTAGCAGGAGTGGGTGCAGCCGGGAGATGGAGGATCCGGTGGTGCCGGAGGTCCACCTGCAGGCGCTGACGACTCCACTGACAGCCCAGCATGGGACCGTGAGGGTGATGGTCTTCACACCTCTCTGGAATAATTAGGGGCTTGAGAATGCAGGTAGGGAATGGGGCAGCATAACTGTATTAACATTTAACAAGAAAAGGATTTTTCTGCTACTTGATTTTGATTGTTTTTACCTTGCAGTTGAAATATAACTGTACACATCAACTTTATTGGGTAGAAAATAAGTCAGATGGTACTCAAAAATAATAAAGTTATTCAAGTTTTAGACAAACTCCTTGCTTCCAAAATGTATTTGTAAGGAACTACCAAACAACAACAGTTCAATTTTTAGCCAAACTATGTTCAGGACATTTTTCAGTTTCTCTGTACAAAGGCTTTTTAATACCATCATTTCGGGTGAATTCACTTTTGGTTTTCCCTCATGTTCATGTTAAATTGATTTATAGAATCTGGGTAAACTTTTGGCTTGTTTACAACTTGTCTGAATGGCTGAACGCTCCTCTTTCTGGCCCTGTTGGATTTTGATGTGACAATGTCAATATAGTTTTCACATCACAGAAATTACTTTTCTGAGAACAAGGTTATCACAACAAAACAAGAAGGCCAAACCGTGTGAAAATAAGAACTTGATCAACCGAATGAAGCCTTTTAATGTTTCTCCTGTTAGAGTTTTTTAAAGTTTTAAACAACAGTCTTTAAAGAGAAACAATAACATTTGGGATTTTCACTTGAAATAGTTAATTTAGTCAGAATAATGCAAACTCCTTCTCCTTTAAAGAATATGCGCACAAACTTCTTAACCCGAAACTTGACGACGGGCCCCCACTATCCCTCCCTAATATCACACCTTGGATGCATAAACATGTCTGTGCTCCACACATCACCCCTCCCCGGGGGGGCCTGCATGGCTTTAGTGCAGTACTGTGACACCAATCAGGGGAGATGGCGGGCTCCTTTGTCATGCAAACACCAATCGCTTCTTGTCTTATTCAAATGTCTGCCCTCTCTCTTTCTCCTCTCCCTCGCTCTCGCTCAACCCCTACCCCATTTCACCCTCCACCCCCGACTTCAGCCCTCTCCCTCATTCTCAAGTCCAAGTAAATCCTGGCTGAGAGAAGAGGGAGCCTCCAGGCTGCTGAGGCAGGCCTCTCTCCTGGGGGTCAGCCAGTGTCTCAGTGCATGGGGCTGTTTCCAGGCCCAACCAAGTCCATTTCATATTCAAATGTTACAATCAGGCCCCTGACCCACAGGGGGCTCTTTATGGTTGCGGCCCCAGGTCGCGGGGTCAAGATGGTGATTTAATAGCTCAGGCAGAGGAAAGGAATGGGGGAGCTAAGTGATTTAGGGGATGAATGAGTAATAAAAAAGCATTTTTCCTAAGTTGTCATGTAAATTTCCATCCGTATTCAATATGAGGCTCCCTCCACACTAGAGGCCATCCTCAATGGCTTTCTAGTGGACTTTAGTCAATCAGAATTACGATAGTCCATTTTCTGCTTCTACTCTTGACTTGTGCTTGGTGTAAACAGTAGCCGACGGTGAAGTTGGCAAGGATTAGGGATGGAGATAAGGACACGTTAAAGTGTCCTCATGCTCGTATGGTGCCACTGTGTCTCAGATGTCCTCATGCTCTGGAGTGGCCTGTTATTCCTGTCCCGAGGGTGTGTTCCCAGCACAACTACTCCAGTAACACGGGCAGGTGTGTGTGTGTGTGTGTGTGTGTGTGTGTGTGTGTGTGTATGTTTATATGTGTGACAGAGAGCGAGCTAGATCATTATGCTAGCATTTTTACAAGAGCAAAGAAGGTGACTTTTTGTCTATAAGTGGAAACATGGAGGAACAGAGAGTACATGCCAAGTATTACCACTAAGATAAAGTTGGGTGTATTTTCAGTGGCACGACACCGTAATCTGCTCTATCTGTGACTCACACGGTGTGTCCTGTTTAGGCCGTCACTAAAACTGACTCATTTAAACCACAAACAAAACCTGCCATCTAACAGCCTCTTTGATTTTGAAGGAGGTTTTATCTTTTTTATTTATTTATTTTTCTCTCACATTATCGTGTTCTGCATTTGCCCTATCCCTGCTGATACAATTTAGAACTCAATAATGGCCAAAGAAATGTAGGCTTTCTAAAAGATTACTGAGATCTAAATACAGAAAAATATTTCATAATGTGGAATACCCAGTTCGACTCCAACTGAGTGACAGCTATAATTATAGAGGCAACCAATTGTAAATCACTAAATGACACTTATTTGCGTGTCATAGCAAAAGGATGACACACCCTGGCAGGCCTGTAAGACACTCGTAGCAGAAATAAATCTTACAAATACAATGCAGTATGCCTCATTAGTGCACCAATTTGAAATGTTCGTAGCTGCACTAAAACAACTTAAACAAACACACAATCAAAAGGAAAACAAATCCTAAAAAGGTCAACGCATTTGAAGATTAGGCCTGATGTAGCACTGACATTTTCAAATACGATTTCACTTTCCTTTTAATTTGTTTGATATCCTGCTCTAGTTGTGTTAACAAGGACTGTTTACCAATGAAAACAAATCAAATGTACATGTAATTTTCACCCAAAGCGACTTACATACTCCCCAAGCAATCCCCACAGGAGCAATTTGGGGTTGAGTGTCTTTCCCAGGGACACAGCAACATGCTGATTGCTGTTGGGATTGAACCAGTGCTCCCCCTAATCCAAAGATCAGTGCACTAAGCCATTGAGCCACAGCCTCCTTTGTTTCCACCTATGTCACAGTATACTGATATTGAAGTTCTACAAGTCTAAAAACGATTTCAATTGGTGTCAAATTGTGTCAATTAAATGTTTTACATTTGTCCGTCAACTAAGACTGAGCTATTTTTTAAACTGACATGGAATGTGAAAGGATTTGACACTTTTTTTTAACAAATTGTTTTATGTGATTGTAAAATGTTTGTTTTATTTTACGAGTGTTGATTGGACAACAGAACACAGACTAGGAAAGTTATTTTCATTTCATTTTTATTTATTCCGTTCATGGTATGCACAACTTAATGTATAACAATTATTTACAAAACATGTCTCTATAAACACACCATACCCGAAAAGGAGCAGGGAGAAGAAAATAATCATATATTACCTGCTCCTTTCTCAAAATTAAATAAATAAATAGATGGTCTGTCCTTCATATGTTCTTATTCACAGCCAATCATAACAGTATCGTAGGAAAATAAGAGAAACACAAAAACTTTAAAAAAAAACTTACCACTTGTCAGTTAACGGAAAGAAACAAAACAAAACAACAAAACATCACATGAACATGGAAAAGTGCAACATCTGAGTCCAACTGGAGTATTTCATGCTTTATTGAAGGAACACTATCTCTCATTTTATAACTCCTACGATAGTTTTGTTTTGTTCAATATCTGATGTTTTTCTCTTTTAAAGAAATGCCTCATTGATGAGAAAAATACTAGACTTTCATACCCTTAAGGTTTACTCTAAAGGTAGCAGAGGCCAACATGGTGAGATGAGGTTGAGGGGCCACTGCAGGGCAAGGTAGGGCAAGCCTCAGTGGGCACAGCTGTAGCTCAGAGCCATTACTGCTCCTCTGCTGCCTCAGAAGAAAAGGGCCGCTACCGCCACATGGCCCCTCTGCCACGCCTGCCCCCTGCCCGCTGCCACACACACCAGGAAGGCCTGGTAGCGCCAGGCGGCACCATCACAGTTTGCTCCACCTTCATGTATGGCAGCGCAGTGGAGCCAAACAGAAGTGTTGCAGGGTTAGGGACATGAGGGGTGGGATGGATGGGTGTAGAGGTTAAACCAGGGTAGGGGGGCTCTGTTCCTTCCTCTCTTATCTCCCCACTGACCATTCTCCTACCCATTCCCTCCTCCACCCCTGCACTTCCCCCCTTCTTGGCTTCCTTTTGTGGCCTGTGCACCTGCAGCCCTTGAGTCTGGGCAATAAAGCTGAAGGATTCGTCTACTGGAGGTTGGAGGAAAAGGGGGGGGGGATCATTAAGCATGGGGAACACAAAAGCAACAGGTTCAAAGTGTGGTTGTTTGATATGGTGCTATGCCATATCCCAGTGATGGGCCTGATGTAATGCAGTTTGACATGAAAGGAGTGCGTTTAAGCAGATTTGTGTCCAGATTTACACTCTGTTTGGCTAAGTGTCATTCTGAATCAGTTTGATCTGACGCAAGATCAGCTTTAAACTTTTGGCATGCTTTACTTTTATTAAAGGATAACATGTATAGTAAATGAAAACAAGTCCCACGAAAATCTTCAAAATGTAAACTTTCAATGGCAAAAAACAACACTGATTTTATTTTAAGGGGATACATGGTTTTTACTTTAAATGAGAAATGAACTCAATAGGGCTTTTATTTCTTAAATCGAATAAATCTATACTAATAATTCAGTTTTATAATACAGTAAATTATTCAGACATGGTCTGTTTTGCATAATGGGTTGTTTTACTTTTGGCCCTTTTTATATTCGTATGCTGATTGTATACTTTTCCTTTGTACTTTTTTAGATAAACAGATGCACAACTATATTGCTAATTCATTGCTACTTTTACTGCATTTTTTCCCCTTGAATAGCAATAACACTTTTATTTTCATATTAAGTTCAGCCTAAAGCTTCCATTTGAACCGTTGCCTACCGCTCTGTCATGTTTAGAGGATATCTTTCTTGTTTTTAATTAGAACTGAGAAGACATGTCGGGGTCAATATCTCCATAACCCCTTGAATGATGTGTTTAAAATGCTTCAACAGGCAAACAAAAAACATTTAGAAAATGTCACTCAGGGGTCATGTGATGGGGAACAGGGAGTTTTACTAACATATTTGATTATTAAGTTATTGGGTAAATTAAAAACATATGAATCAGGGTGCATTTGTATACTTAATCTCATAGTTGTTTTGCATGCACAGCCATAGTAGTAATACAATATAGAAACACTGAAGACAGTTTACATAGGGGATCTGTGACATCACTTTGCATGTGTACAATCACCTGATTTCGATGTGCAGTGTTGGAGATATGTGGGTGACATGTTGGCAGAGCCCTGGGTGTAATTGGGCT